AGAAATTTAGTAATAATTCATTTTCACCAAAATTCCATCTTTCGGGCCTCAACCGAGTTTCCAAAACCTCTACTCTATACTTTTCTCATTTTTTAGGGATTTTCTGGAATTTTTCTCAAATTTTTCCGTTTTGTCCTTCCTAGACTGATAATTACGAAAATGCCAACTCGGTCCTTTTCAGGGTTTCATATCAAAAGTTGTTTCATCTCCCCGTCTAGTTCCTATATTGACCCTTATTCCAACTTTTGATCCTTTATTGTCAAATGAAAATTTTTGGGATGTGACACTACTCAAGCTACACATGTTTAGTAAAGAGCCACAAATACAAGGGTATTTTATAGCCATTACAAAAACAAATGAGAAGGGAAGAAGAAAACCAAGGAAAATAAGAAATGAAACTCCAAATATCCTTCAAAGTTCAAGCTCAAAGCTCCCAAACCTTAAAACCTTTAAATCCTAGCAGAGAACTCCTCTAAACAAGTCCCTAAGTCAAAATCTGGCCAAGAATCCCAAATTTCCCTTTTTCTATACCCTAAATTTTAAGTTACAATGTAAAATGCATAGCTGCGCAGAGGCAAACACTGCAGTGGATAGGCTCACTCGTCGCGACAGATTGAACAGAGAGGGAAGCTCTTTGAAAAGGAACAGGCGTCACAGTGGATTGCTTTAGGGACTATGGAAAATTATGCAATCTTGGCCTTCTTTAACTGGTTCTTCAATCCTTACTCACCTTGAGTCCATGATCTTCCTTTGATCAACCAAAATAGGTTAAATATTTCTCATTGTAGTTCATCTTCCAGCTCCTGCTACTTCCTACATTAAGAATTTTAGAAGTATTGCACAAAGAATCCCCAAGTGTAAGCACAAATCAAGCTTCGTATTTTCAGATCATATTTTTCAGCTTTAAGGGAGCAACCTTGCACAATTAGTTTCCAAAACCCACAAAGAGTATTAAGACAAGCTAATTTGGTAGGACTTTCATGAGGTTATCAACTCCCTTCCATTTTGTCCTCCTCCTCCCATCAAAAACATAACTCAAATGTAGAAAACCCAAAAAATCATATACGATCTAGATCAAACATAAATTCTTCCTCGTCTTCCTCCCATTCCTTTTCCACCCCTAATCCCCTTAGGGTTACTCCATCTACTTCCTTCACCACCACCACTAGGACGGCCACCGCAGTTGACTATGGTTAAACAAAAACACAATCTTCCAGAAAAGCTTTCTCTCAACATTCATGAGCTTTCTTTGATTTTACGTGAATTTTTCAATGCTAAAAAATGGTTACCGTCATTGTTAGCTCTGTTCTTTTTGTTCATTTTTTCCCCCAAAAGTCTCATCAAACCCACCGCCTTTTGTCTCCTACGATTGGGCAAGTACAATCTGCATACTTTATTCCACAACCCATTACTATAATATTTGCCCAACCCAATAGTTAAAATCTCTGTTTTCAGGTGGCGAAAACTTTAGAAGGAAAGAATAACAAAAGAGAAAATAAAAAATGTAAGAGAGAGAGAAAGAAAGACGGAACTTGCAACAATCTTCACTGGTGAGCTGACTGAGGGGTTTGTCGAGAATGGATTAGAAGTTAGCAATGCGAGTATTCATGGCTTCTAGATTCAAGTGAATGTGTGTCCAACTTTGGAGAAAAGAAAAGGCAAAGAAGAGAGGAGAGGAGAGATAGAGCGAAATGCAAAAAAAAAAAGTGAGGGTGTGTGATAGTGTGAGTAGACGACAAAGTGAGCAGTGAGAGAGAGACATGCATATGCTTAGTGGGATTCATAAAGGAAAAAGCGGCGGACATTAAGGGTAGTTAATAAAAATAGCATTTTTGCCCCATTTTGAAAAATTAATGGGTATTTTTACCCCTGACATTTTATTACGATGCTTGGTGTTTCTTTTCGATAGTATAATAGGTAAATTTCTTCATTCACCCTCTCTCTTAAAACTTAACACACATTATTGAATTCATTCAAAACTAGATATTAGATAATTTTTTTTAAAGTCATGTTCTTTTTGAATCAAGGTATTTTTTTAGCTAGGCATCAGTATTCTCCTACTAAAACTAATCATATTCAAAGCACTGTATTCTAACGTTTAGTGTCTGACAATACCTCAAATAGAATTGCTTCCAATAAGAAAATATCTGTACATCAAGCATAATAAAATTTAATATATTCAGTCATCAACATTGGACAAAAATATATGCATCGTGATAAGAATTTTTAGAAAATCATATTTCAATATCTTATTAAATAATTATTAATAATTTTAATAGTTTTATACATATTCTAATACTTACTTTATTTAATACTAATTGTTGATATGATGTGACATAATTATCAATTAGAAAGAATTATAATTAGTTTTTCCCCCTCAAATGACGAAGTGTACCCGTCCCATCATTTATTCGCTTTCTCATCCAAATTAAAAAAGTTTGTTAAATTTTTTATTTATTGGAAAATATTGTAATAGTTCAATTAAACTAAAGTGAAATGAGGTCGCTATCAAAATTATAAAAATAAAATAAAACATCATATGATATTACTATTGTTGGCAGCGATGGTTCTATGAAGAGTACAAAAAGAAGAGATGAAGAAGAAAGTGGTGCATAATATCTTCAAGGCATGGGCAGCACTTTCCTTTAGAGTTAATTCGCCTCTACCTATTCCTATCTTATAGGGTGTAAGTTGGGTTGACTGACTAATTTCTTTCAAGATACAATGAAGACCTTTGAATATGGATTACATTTACAAAATTCAAGCGAAGACAATAATGGCCTTTACAAAGTAATAATTTGACTCTATCTCTACGTGCATTCAAAGACAAAGGCAATGTGTTTGATTCTTATGTTTGTATTGTGTTGTGTCTAAATAAAGTGATGGTGAGGGGTTTATATGAACCATGAAATGATGCCTTGAAGAGATGCCTTTTCGAATAATACCTTATTAAATTAAAAAGTCCCATATGTTGGTTCATAAACTAACATAATTTAAATAAATAAAATGTATTTAATATGTAGGGTCTTTTATTATTGTAACTTCCTACATAACCTTTCATATAACTATATTAATTTATATAAAGAAACAACTTCTCATATAAATATACTTCATCTGGTTCAAAATATAAGCTAAACTTTATCTATTTATGTTTATCAAGAAACTAGTTAAAATCAATTTAAAACAATAAATGTGTAAGGGATGCATTCCCCCCCCCCCCCGCAAATATGCCCTTATTAATGAAAGGAATAAGTAAAAGATGTAATAAATGGATTAAAGAGGAAAGAGAATAAATGGGGGTAAAGTTGAAAAAAACTCATTAAATACTTAGATAAAAGTGAATATTATCTTATAAAAAAACTAAGCCTCTCCAACAAAATTTAGCTTATATTTTGAACTAGACGGAGTATTAATTTATATGAGAACACAACTCTTCAAATAATTTTATTAATTTATATGAAGACATAACACTTCAAATAAAATTATTAATTTAATAAATTTACATAAGAACATAACTTTTCAAAAACACATCTCTTCGTTTTAAAAACATTCCAACAATTACTCGGCAGCTTATAATTTAAACTTTTATTTTTCAAAATAAATCCTATAGCACAGGAGGGATCAACAATGTGCTCAAAGAATATCCAAATACCTTCCCCCTCCCTCCTCCAACACTCAAACAATTTTTCAATAACATATAGTATCTTAAAATAATTTTTGGTGTATTTAGCACCATAATTAATATATTTTTTTTAGTAACATTCAGTATCATGAGTGTAGAGAGTATGCTTTAAGGACAAAATTGTACTAAAATTTATTTTAGAACATGAGGTACTACTGAAAAAATACTTTAAAATGCTAAATATATATAAAAAATTAGTTTTTGATACTAAATGCCATAAAAAATACTTTAGAATACTAAATATAATTTAACACAATTTATTTTTAGTAATTTTATATTATATAAAATAAATATGTGAAGAAAATTTTGTCTCATAAAATATAATACTACTCTAGTTTTTATTTTAAGTCACTTATAACTTATTCTCACATGCCAAAAACTGCATTAATGGATAAAATTTTTCAAACATACCCTCATTAAAATTTTCTATTTCTCTTTATTTACAAATCATTCCTACCTGTTATCTCTCCTTTTCCTTTCTCTTTTTTCAATAAAAATTAAATAAGAGCTCACAAAATTAGACAATAATCGTTAAATACCCTACAAATTACCTATGTTTTTGACGAAAAATTTTCTTTTAATAGTGAATTAGTGATCCGAACTCGTGGCGCTAAATGGCGAATGCATGTGCCCATGTATAAAGCTGCAATTAATACAATCAATTTACCCACCGCACTAAATGACAAATTAAAAAAAATTATTAATACCCGCTGTGATAGTTGTTAATCCTTAAGTTGTTAACGATTGCTCTTTTAGTCGTTAATGTAAACTTAAAAAAAAAAGACAATTTGGTAATTAAATAAATAAAATTTATTACAATAAGATACTTGGGACTTGAGAATAATTCGATTATTTTAAAGAATTTTTTTGTATTTAATTCTTTTGAGCAGAACCTTGTTGTAATTTTCCCTTTTTTTTTTCCTTTTTTTTTTTTGTTTTGTTAAATTTGGGAAAGCCTGTCTCCTCCTGAATAATTTGCTGCTCACCAAGACTCTATCCTTCATCCTTTCTTCAGTCATAACATTTCAGAATATTCTTGCAGGTCGCTCTCCTTCTCAAGAAGAAACCTCCCCTTCTCTCTGTATTTCTCACTTAGATCTGCACTTTTCCTTCCTAATCTATCCTATCCAAGCCTCAAGCTCTTTTTATCTTGTCTCTCCACCTACACCCAATCCAAGTTCTCTTCATTTTATGCTTGTCTTTTTCGTTTAACACGCGGATAATATTCTTCTGCGTAATTTGGATTAAATCTTTAGATTTCCCTAATTCTTTCTCTTTGATTTAACTTGGTTTTAGTTTGAAGGAGAGATTGGTTGAAATGACGAGAAGGAAGATAGCAATAAAGAAGATCGAGAACGTAGCTGCGAGGCAGGTGGCTTTCTCAAAGAGAAGGAAAGGTCTATTCAAGAAGGCTAAGGAGCTGTCAACTCTCTGTGATGCTGAGATTGCTCTCTTAGTATTTTCAGCTTCGGGCAAACTCTTTGATTATGCTAGTACAAGGTATCTTTTCTCTCTCGATATCATGTATATGTGTGTTCTATCACTAGGAATCAGAATAATCTGAATTTTAATCACGTCTGGGATTTTCGTTTTTGTTTAGAGGGAAAGAAATCCTGATCTTTATTTGTTGATAAAGAAGCTGTTATAGCCTATGCTTTTATTCATCTCATTCGTGCTCTCTTCTAAATTTGTCTATATAATCTCCTTCAGTTTTGATAGAGTGAGATTTCACATGAAATGGCTCTAAAAAGCACAATAACTCAACTAGAATATAGATTATTAGCATACCAAGTTTGATCCATAATTCATTTGTCTATTCTTTTTTAAGTGTCAGCATTTATGTATCTCATCTGTTTGATCATCAATTACCATGTTCATGTTTCGGTGAAAATTACCTTCTGTTATGCCAATACAAGGTATCTTCTCTCTCTCTAATTGAAATGATTTAGATTCAAGTTGCTTCCACAAAGTACTTCTCTTGCTGTAAGAGGAAAACTTGTGATATAGTCCTTTTGTGTGCTTTTATATATGTGTGTGTATCTGAGAATTAATCATGTGGGTATAATTGAAAATGATGAGTAATCTCATCATAACTGTGTTTTGCTTATACCTTTAACTTTTTACTGCAATGTCTTGAGGTTGCTGCTAAAATAGTTTGAACACTGAAATCTTGATAGTCTTGGAAGAGACTATGGAATTTGTTCAACATTCATGTGAATAATACGTACAATAATCAACGTTTAAAACTTAAAACTGTATAAAATAGTGGTTTGAAAATAACGAAAACGACACATATATGGAGGAATATTAGATTTCATGAAGCTGCTTGAGTTCCAGGGGCTTTTGTTAATGTCAAGATGCTATTTTCCTTCTGTGAGAAAAAAAATATGATCCTTTCCATAACGATCAATATAGTTGTATAAATTATATAAAATCTACAAGAAACTATACTATTCACAAGTCAAGAATAATGTATTCGTCTTTGATTTCTTAAAAAAAAAAAAAAAAAAAACAAAAAGCCCACAATACGTTGTTCAGGCAGTACTGCACGTCCTCTCTTCATCTCGAGGGAGATATAGTCTGTATATGAGATGGTTTTTATCTTAATATTTTAATTCTATTTTTATTAAAAATCACTTTCAATGGTGTTGGAAAATTGTATATATATATTTTTTACTATGTTTCTTTCAAAATAAAAAATATCAAAAGAAGATTTAAATCTTCTAGTTTAATTTAAGTGGTCTAGAGAAGTACAAATACGGCGTACTTTTAAGAGGTAGGGATGTTTTCTTTTTTGGGTCAATAGAGAACATCCCAAATTACCTTTTAGTTCATTTTTTTTTCTTTGTGTTTTTTATTGATTAGTTAGGTGGATTAAAACAGTTTAAAGAGGATTATGAGAACGTGCTACTAGAACGGTCGGGTCACTTTTGCTTTGAAGATACTAAAAGTTTTGTAAGGCTATCAACTTATCACAGATTGCTCTTGACGTTTTCCTTATTGTCTTCATATTTTGATATCCATTAATAGCAATATTTAAATGTTATAATTTTGAATGAGTCTATCTGGAGTTCAGAGTCGGTTAATGAAACAAATGCTATTATATTACACATTATTGTCACATTTATATCTCTAAATAAAACACCCATCTGTAATGTTTGGCCATAGAAGCCACTAAGAATAAATTCATTGGTGTGTATATATATACATGACTGATTGAATACATAAGCAAATTTAATGCTGTATTTAAATTCACTTATTTTAACCATGACTTCCATTGTGTCCCTCCCCCCAGCAAAAGTATGACTTCCGTTAAAATTTAAATTCGATAAATAATTTTAATTCATCAAATGATAATTTATGCTATATAATTCGGTTAGAAATAGTTTTAAAGTATGACTTCCATTTTAATTTTCAATGTTTTTGTCGTTTTAAGCACGAGGCAAGTAATTGAAAGGAGAAACCTATACTCAGATGTGAACCTTGTGAAGTCATACCAGCTATCTCAAGAGCTACAGGTATAATTTTTCTTCTGCTCTCTACCCCCTCATCTATTGCTGTTTTGATTCATCTTTCTTTTCCCCATCTCTGTCTGTGTGTCTGTACATAAAAAATCTTACAAAAATATTTTTGGTTATAAGACATTTTGATAGTTTCAAGTGAAAATCCCAGAAAAAGCCTTTGGAATATACAAAGTCCCCATTAGGTCCTAGAATTCTGTAAATGACAGAAAGGGTCAATGACCCAATCTGTCATTTGTAAAATCAAGAGGAATTGACAACTTTGTCCTGGCTAAGCAAAAATGAATAGTTATTCTCTAAACAAATCTAGGCAACGCTTACATTGTTCTAGTGATTACATAATTAGTTGTAATTAATAACAAGGTACCTGACTACGGAAAAGTGAGTAGTTATTCTATCCACGAATATAATTAACACTTACACTGTTCTAATGATTATATGATTAGTTGTAGTTAACAAGGCAATTGACTACGCCAAAGTGAGTAGTTATTCTCTACACGAATCTAGCTAACACCTAAATCTTTATAGTGATTCCTTAAATCATTATAGTGAATGAATACAAATGAGGGCAAAGTTGTTGATTTCTCTTGATTTTACAAATGACAAATTGGGTCATTGACCCTTTTTGTCCTTTACATAATTCCAGGACTCAATTTGGAATTTCATATATTCCAAGGGTTTTTTTTTGGAATTTTCCCTAGTTTCAATGAGCATTAAATATTTCTTCCCATATATGCCCATATTTAATAAGGATAGTGAGAGAGAATAAAAATTAGTATGATATGAAATATAGTGTGATTAATAAGGATAATATTAGAAATCTCTTAAATTTTATGACAAATTTAATGCTTTTAACTATTTTTATTGGTACTTGCAAATTAGTTAGAAACGTCTTATAATATGGATCAGGGGGAGTACAATATACTTCCCTCACCCTAAATATATGAGTTAGATAACTAATTTATATATATTAAGAGAATTAAATTAGTTATTTGTTAAAAAATGTGTGTTGGTTATCCTGAAATATCCTCTCTGGTCACTGGCATTGGAAACTACATTCATTGGCGAAAACTCCTTTTATTTGTGTAATTAGGATTGACTCTAATAGGAGGATATTAATGCCTATAAAAATAGAGATAATTTCGAGAAAAATTATAGATTTGGAATACTAAGTGAACTGAGGTCAAAGAAACCTCTTAACTAATATTCAAAAGTGGAGAGAATATATTATATTACTGCTATAATTATTCAACAGTAACTTCTTTTTTTATTCAAGGTTATGATGGACCATATACATACCTAATATGAAAATGCTTGGAGTATATTAAAACTTTTGTTATTGAATGTGGAAAGCATATGGTAATTGGACAGGTTGAAGGTGAATATTTTAAGCTAAACAAGGAAATAGAAGAGAAGACTCTTGAAATAAGGTATTATTACTATTGTTAAATGGTGTTAAAGATTTTATTATGGGGGATGTACAATGTGTTTATTATAGATTCAAATATGTTGCTCTACATCTAATAATAGACAGCTCAATGGAGAAGATCTACAAGGGCTGTCTGTAAAAGATCTGAGGAAGCTAGAACATTTACTTAGCACAAGCTTGCATCGCATTTCAAAAGCAAAGGTTTGTCTTTTCCTTTTATGACGGTGCTAAAAAAATTGAAATATTTTATGATTGTTTTAACCTGTAAATTACAGTTATCAACTGTCAATTAAACAATGGCTTATTTGAGAAATAGGAAAAATAACCCCAAAAAAAAAAAATACATGTTGAATTTCAAAATGACAGCTAAGTGATTTTGACTTGCTAAAGTCATTCGAAGAGTAGTCCAAACCATTACAAGAATAGTAATCATAGCCTATTTGTCTTTTTGAAATTCAACATGTTTTTTTTTTGTCGTTTTCCCTCTGAAATAACTATATAATATGCAGAGGCTTATTTGACCGTTGTTCATCTTGTTTAGCTCATAATATTCGATTTGTCCCTTTTATAATGACAAAACTATATGTTATATTTCAAATATTCATTGCAGCATAAAAAATAGGAAGTGAATGACATAAAAATTAGATAAGGTCAAGACCTCCCTATTCTTTTATCATTAGAAAGGTCAACTAAAGTCTCTTTATAAAGCTACCTTTCTGTTCTTTGTTTTTTGGCTGCCATGAGGCTACTTTTTTTGGGGGGGGGGGGGTTACCATAAGGCTACCTTAATCCATGGTTCCAGCAAAGAATATTAGTAGTGATCTATAATTCTTTCCCCCTTTTGTGAACATAGTTTCAAATCGCAGATCAAGAAGCAACTATATCCTCATACAAAATGCATAATTTAAACATTTTCTTTTGTATAGGATTTCAAATTTGCCTCATGCTACAGGGATCGACGTAGCCTAAATAAATTCTAGTCTAACGCTCTCCATGTCCTTTAGTTATAGGAAATGATTTTTCCTGTTTGATGCTCATTTGACCCTTCAACTATGTAAGATACAAATTAAAGAATGCTCTCAATGACCGATTTAAGACACTAACTAAACTTATCCGTATTCCTTTTACAATTGATAATGAGCAGTCTCATAATCCTCATATCCTATATATCGAAATGGTACAGATATAGGAAAATCATTCATAGTCCTATCAAATCTCTGTTCATAAATCATTTTATATATTTATAACTATAATTTACCGAATATGCCAAATATGACTTTGGTTGACCGTTATAACTCCAATAAGAGAAACCTGATAAATCTAAGACAATTATGGGATACTTTTCATCTCTTAATTATTCCAAATGTAACTGAATCACAATTGAATTAGATCCTCTTTATTCTTCTCAAAACTCATTGACAACTTGCCTGTCATTGTATGTTCCACTAACTTCGCCAAGTATGGGTTGACAAGATGGGATGATATTTTGGGGAAAATCCCAATAGGAAGGGAATACACATATATAATAACATAAAATGAATCACTATATAAAAGATGACATACATATTAATTAGATGATATCATAAACACCTAGAATTCATTATTAGAGAACCACTGCACTCTCCCCCTTACCTATCCTGCTTTTTAGGCCACAAAGACATCTCTTAGCCACAAGGCTTTCTTACTATACAGGCTCTGCCTTCAAGTTTCTTTACCACAAGGGTATAATTCTTTGCCAAAGAGGCAATATTTAACTATTCAAGGCTCTAACTTTGAGTACAGATTTACTTATCACATGAAATTACATAAAATAAACTAGGCACTCAAACAAGACAGACATATAAGAAGAGTAGGATTGCTATCTTGTGCAGAATTGAAGTTATATATTTCTGCCACAACTTCTCCTTCACTATACGTAATTAGGATAAAACCTCAAAACTATATAATTCTTTACAAGTTGGTCCCTACAAATTTTCATGTGAGTTCCTTTTAAATTATAGGATGTCACATTAACCTCGTCTTCTAACTCACCATTTAAAAACCAGAATTTGAATCAAATTAATAACAGGTAACTGCAACTACGAGACCAAAAATGAAACAACTCTCACAATTTCAAATTGAGCAGTTGGAGGAGAAGTCTCCTCAAAATTCATACCTTGTTGTTAGTATCACTTGAAAACAAATCGAGCTTTATACTCTCAAGTGCTTCCATTAGTAAGGGCCGGGCCAAAAAAGCTATTTTTAATATTTTCAAATAAAAAATATATAAGCCATAATGGTAATGTTCTTGTTCCAAAACCACATACCCTATAATGGTAATCCCTTTTAGTTAATATGAAGTTTTAGTGGCTATTAATGTCTCTTCATTCACATATACTCCTCTCTTAAGGTGTTAAACATGCCATTCCCAGCATAACTAGTCAAGAGGCAATAAAATCCAAAGTTACTCTTTAATGATTATATGGGGTCCATTAGGTAGATGTTTACCCTAATGGAAAATTAGAACACATCTAATCCCGCTTTCCCAATCTATATTCATAATCAAGATTCCCTTTATCAAGGAAAACCCTAATCCTCCTAATTGATAATTAATATTGGCCAAGCTTCAACTAAACAAATAAATGCGTGTTTGAACAAACAAAATTAACATTAAGCACAAATAATTGATCCAAACATGCTCTGATCTAGTTCGTAATAACTACTCTATGGTAATAGAACATTAGCCATGTTAAATGAAAGAACAAGAGGAGTAGGATAGAGTAGAGCACAAAAGGAATATAATGAAGGAGAACCTAGGAGAAAGAAGTCAAGGACACTGCATTGTCAGCGGAGGAATGGGGAAGGATAAAAAAACAAACAATTTATACCGCATCAAATCTAGATGGAGAACAGCCAAGCTAAGTGAGACTTTGAGAGTTAAAGGAAGATCGAAGAGTTGAAGCTTGAGAATGAGATCAGAGGGCAGTTGGTGTGAGGATGGAAGGAGCGAAGCTCTCTTGGTCTCTAGCAGGTTAAAAATTAGAAAACATACATTTAAGGGATGGCCTTTTAATTATTTGATCCAACGGGGCCCAACTTTAGCCCATTTACTCATTTTGGGACCTAATTTTTAAGCCTGCTGGTCCTCAATTTAAAAAGGTTTAAATGGGTTGGGCTCTAACAACTCTACCGCACCCCTCGGGACCCCATAACATTTTTGCCTTCATGAACATCTAACTCCGACGCATGTTGGGTTTTATGAATGGCTTGAATCTCCTCAATCGTGGCACTTTGCCGCTCAAATTTTTCCATTGCTTCTAAAGAAGTTGGGTGTTGGCGTTTGAAACATACACAGAAAAATTACAAAATCCATAAATTTACTTTTAGTAAACATTTGAATTTTTTGGCGGTATTTCACCAGAGAATCTTCATGCTGAAGAACTTGTTGATCTTGCGGTGCCACTTTCACTAGGTGAGGAAAATGAGTAAGAATATGGACTTGTCAATGCAGGGTGCCATTGCTTGTCTATTGTCAAACTCTAGTCTATAGGGATTCAAATGAGAATGGCTCCCTTGTTAATATTCCATTCCCAACTGGCCTCTTCATTGGATACAATATTCCTGCTAACTATTACTTTAACACTTGTAAGATTATACAGATGACATGCTTTGGTTTGACTACTATAGCCAATTTAAAATTTAGGTTTTTTTTTTTCAATTTTTCATCAATTTAAGAATGAAATTTAACCTAAACATATGCTAGACAACTAAGAATTGTAAGTGGCTTATCTGAGGCTTCTTGCTTTTCTGAGCTTCATATGGGGTTTGATTCAAAAGGGCATTTTTTGGAGAGATAATGCGCAATGTTATTTACTATGTTATATAAATTAGAATTTATTGATACTGTTTGCTGTTCAATATAAAGTTGCCTCTTCTTTTTTCATTTGTTTCTATACTATTTAGCAATAGTAAACAGTTATGATGCGCTTGTAATTTCTATCTGTTTTTTGATTCCATGGCATGGGTAAAAAGCAGCTTGCAATGTTTATAACAGATAGAAACTAACTCCATGTGTTTCAGGTTGAAGTAATTGAGCAGGAGAACAATATTCTAAAGAAAAAGGTTAGCGTTATATTTGTTTATCAAAAGCATTATATGCATTATATTCAGTCTTTTCCTCTCTGTTATAATGAGAAGGTATTGATCAGAATTAATTCCTTCTAACTTAACCTTTTATTTTAGTAATTAATGCTGCCTTTGGTATTCTGAAGTTAGTAAATACAAGGGTAGAATGAAGAAAATAGTAATTATTTTTACCTTCAAATTTTGTAATGACAAATAAATATAAACGAGCATTTTCTTAAAAAGTGACCATTAAAAAGGAATGGAGAGAATTGACCCAAAAAATAAAAAGGAATGGAGAGAGTAATTTTCATAACCCTTCAAATAAGCCCATATTTAATAGAGATTACAAAAAACCACAAATGACATGCCTCAAATTAACGGCACATAAATTCTAACATAGATAAACTCATATAGAACTAAAGCACATGTTTTTTTTTATTAAATTTTAAACACATAACTTTATCAACAAGTCTATACTTACCATCATCAACAACTTAAATACACAAAAAAAAGGAACTTAGCACATCTGATTAAGTTTAACCATAAACTTGAGTTTATATTTCCAGTATTTCATTTCTTGTAGTTATATAATATGCTATGCAGTAATGTCTAAGGCACTCCCTTCATCCCATATTTTAGTCATAGTAACATATTACATTAATAAAAAAATTTGTTAACATTTGTAGTACGTTGTGAGTCTTCATTCATGTCTCTTATTTGTTTTAATGATGCGTTTTAATTTTGATGTCAATGAAGGAAGACGAACTCAAGGAAGAAAACCAGAGGCTAAAGAAGGTTGTCAGATTCTTGTCACTAATTCTCTTGTCAATTAATTTCTCATTAATGTGTCTCCATAGTGATAATATAACGTCTCATTTACCATAGTTTTTAAACTTAATGCTCATCCAGTTAATCAAATCCATGGAAGAAAACCAGAGATTAGATCAGGTAATTAACAGGTTTCAGATTCCTATGGTCTTTGCTTTTGTCAGTACTTATCTGGGAATTGTATCGAACTGGGAAATGAAATTATGTGTTGATAGGCGCAATGGCTTGAGGATGAACAATATCAGCCATCAAACACGTCTCCCGCAACAAGGTAAGTTGCTATAAACCTCACCGATGAGATAGCTGTGTTTTATCTCCGGTTACTGTAGACTAGTTATTTTGCTCCGTTGAAAGTATTTGGTCCTAAATATAGAAGTTAGTTAAGCGCATGGTTTAGGTTTTAACTGTAAGTCCTAAATCCATTTTATTTTACAAATTTATAATTCTTTTTCAAACAATCATGTTGGTTGCAATACTAAAGGGCTTTTTATTTTTATTTTTTTATTGATGAAGGTAATTTTCAATGCAAATGAATGAATGTGGTGTTTTAGGTAAACTAACACATTTACTATAGATAACAAACGTCATTAATCATTCTCAATAACTGTAAATTAATTATCTAGTACTTATATTTAAGATCATTTTATTAGATTTTGTTTTGAATGGGCCTAGTGCTCTAGATAAGCTTCAATTTTTACAACTTGTTAGTACTCCAACAACCTGCATCTGCGTGTCTATGTACATTTGACATGATATTGTTAACCTCATTAATGTAGTAGTTGTCCATGACGATGAAGTTTTTAGTGTCAAGTCCTGTGGCTTACATGAATGATTTGCAATCCATGTGGGTGAGTTTAATTAGTCTAAAACTCTAGACAATTAAGATTATCAAGTTTCATTAATCGTTATTTTATTTACTGAATCGCAGGTTACTGTTTCCCTGAATGAAATTAAAGCTTCTGAAGGAAGAAGCGCAGTAGATTTTTTTTTTTTTAAGTTTTGTGAAAACCATTATGAATAGTGGTTGTGCAATATTGTAAATGTATAGCTGTGTGTAGTTGTTTCAACTTAGCTGTTCCTGGGCTGCAGTGAAGTGATGGAACTGTGATGTTTTTTTTATTATTATTCATGAAGAAAATAAAAATAGTCGTAATCCATCCGATCAACCAATGTTCATTATTTACTGTATAATTTAACTGCTCTTGACAATATATAATAGGAATAATTATTATGAATTTCCAAATAAGAAATATAATTATTAAAAAGTCCTAGTAATCATACATAACAATACTTTATACTATTTCCAGTTCTTAATATAAAAGTTAATTGGAGATTTAATTTAATCTTAAATATAAGACATAAATCCATCTCATCTCACATATTTGTCTTTTTATTTTTCAAAGTAATCCTTATACTGATTGCATGTGCTAAAGAATTTATATTAAATAATGGTTCTAATGTACATGATTAATAATGATATTGTAGGAAAAATAACACTCATTTATTATAAATAAATAATTTAATTAATTTTCTTAATATTCGTACAGTTATAGGATCAAGATAGCAGGTACATAATATTGAAATTGAAATACTTTTTTAAGAAAAAAATTTAAAATTTTTTAGACACATCGAATAATCCTATAATCTTAGTGGATCCTTCAAGACATTTTTATACAGAAATTAAATTCTGTTAAAGATGATGATGTTAAAGCTTTTCATTTTATATGGGAGAGGAAACAATAAGCGGAAATGCATGGAATTAGCTGGCAAAAAAGGGAAATGCAAGGAATTACTTTGATGGCGCTAGAAAATTTTAGAATACTACTCCTCCTGTCCTTAATATGGGACCAATTATTGAGTTGGTTTTGGTCCTAAATATAAGACTTATTTTTTATATTTATCAATTTTCTCTAAATTATCCCTATGAATACTCCCTCAACCATAATCAAGTAGAAGAGGAAGCGGAGATATTAAGAAAGATGATTACGGTGTTTTAGAAAAAAAGTGTCACATTTCTTATAATTAACTAACTTACCTAGCTTCCTTAATCTAATCAAATTAGTTAAATGGGTCTTATATTAAGGACCGGAGGAGTATTATCTTATCTTTGCTTGCATATGATGTCAATCATATATTTATTCCTTATTTTGTAAATTATGATTAAAAAGTTATTTATAAACTATTCTAAAAGGATCCAAACAAGATTGATATTACTTCCATTTTTTAAATAGAAGAGCTAGGTAACTAACTTACAAATGTTAAAAAAATTAGTTAAGTTTATTATTTATAATAAATGCACCTTGGTTTTTTTAAATTATCATTTTTAATCACGTACTCCTCTTGTTCTAAATATAAGACACATTTTATATTATAAATTACACTATAAAATAGGTCTTATATTTAAGACTGGAGGAGTATATTGGAATTACCTTTTGATAGGAACTCCTTAAGAATATTTTGGGGGGGGATTATAAATTTGAGAAACAAAATAAATTGAGATTTTATATTTAGGATGAAATTTAAGCTCCCAACTTGTTCTTATACTAAATTATGTATTTTTTGGTATTCAGTAGTAACAAAGGACTATATTCTAGTATATATTTGTTTGAACTCCAACTATATTTTTTGTTTGCTTTATAAATTTTTTCATGAATATATAAACACATCCTAGAAGTATCATATCTTGTACTCCTCCAGTCCTTAATATAAGACTTATTTAACTAATTTAATTAGATTAAGGAAGTTAGGTAAGTTAGTTAATTATAAAAAATGTGACATGTTTTTTTTTTAAAACATCACAATCATCTTCTTTAATATCCTTTTTCTCTTTTCTACTTCATTATTGTTGAGGAAAATTTATAAGGGGAATTTAGAAAAATTGATAAATATGATAAATAAGTCTTATATTTAAAACCAAATCAATTCAATAATTAGGTCCTATATTAAGGATTGGGGGAGTACTTTTTAAGAAATGAAAATGTTGACGTATTGGATATATATACACATACATAGATTTATATGTATATCATTGTATATGCATCTGATTCATATATGGCATTTGTGTATCAGAAGTAAATATACACCTTGATATTGTCTCCCCAAGCTACACACATGGATTTTGATGATAATATAAGAGGAATTCTTGGGTACACCACCTCATCTATGCTCTGGCCAATCAGAATATAACAAGTCACCACATTTTAATTTTATTAGTTGGCTACCAGGTCATCTCTAATTGTTAAGCAACTAAGATTTTAATTAAAATATAGTTATAAGTTAAACTCATCAGAAAATTCTCATAGAAGAACCCTAATCTCTACATTCAACGATCATTGCCCTCTTCCTGGTGACTTGAGACGCTTGAGACGAAGCTTGAGCTCTTCCTAGTGGGTAAGTTAATCTGTGCCTTCCTTTTTCTCTTATTTTTGATCGAACAAGAGGCTATTTATCCTCGTCTTCCTCTTCCTGGTGACTGTCTTATAAATTAGAGACGAAGTTTGAGCTCTGAAGGCTGAAGGTCTCTTGACGATCCTCTTATGATCGTGTTTTGCTTCGATTTGTGGCTGGTAAGTTGTGATTTATGGATACAAATAAGTAATGAAATCATTTTTGAAGCCCAGAACCCAAACTTATAATCAATTTTCGGAGCCTTTAAGAACACTTTTACGGTCCCTGTGTTTTGAAATCAAAAGTCTAAACCTTGAAAATATTTTAGAATTCCTACCGAGAGTGTTGCAATCACCAGAGCCTCTGTCGATAAAAATCATTTAATTGTGATTCTTGACGTTTCACTTGAGATGAGATGTTTGTTATTTGACTTAATTGATAATGAATTGAGGTACAATAAGACAAATCCTACCTATCATCAATGCATTTGATTCAATTTATTTATTATTTTTCCAAGTATTTGCATTTTGTCGGTCCAAAATGCTGTTGAATATTTGTAGATTATTGGGGCCTTGAACCAATATCATTGTTTATAGCTTTATATCTTCTACAAGGCATCTTTATGGATGGTTAGTTTAACTATATTTGTAATTTCAGCTACCTTGTTTTGTTTATGTTAAATCATTTTACTTGTAATAATTACTATGTTTGCAATAATTTCTATTCAACCTGCACACATATTGTTTTTCATGTTGTACTTAAAGCACATAAATTCCTCTTGCTTTTGAAAATACGAGGTGGGTTGTTCCAAAATATTATATGATGTGGTTGCCATGGTTGTCAAGACTGGTGATAATTTTTTTCGGAAATTTTGTAATGTTTATTCTATTTCAGACTCTTCGCAGAATTTGTAGGCCTAAATTCTATTTGAGTGAGTTGTCTATGTAGATCATAGAGAAGCTTACCTAGCTAGTGTTTGTATGGCTTTCTAGCTTGACAACCTTTGCTTTTCCAGTGTGATTAACAATCAGTGTTAAACCTTCTTTTGGTTACCTCATCAAAATGCGGCATTGGCATTATGGTTTCGTGTAGGTATGAAACTTCAAGGGAGGAGAATTATATACATCATGGCAAGCTGAGTAGATGAGAGGAGGCCGTGGCCTTGCTGAAATCTTTCATTACAGGAGGCATAATGGATAACAATGTGATTTTGATGTCGAAAGCTTTTGAGAATTGAAGGGGATGATGACTTTAGTTTGTGCTGACTAGCTACTTCGTTGGTATAGGTTGCTGCTATTTAGTATATGTAACTTGCTGTCCAAAAATGTTTCATGCATGTAATGTTTCAATTGAATATTATTAATTTGGTGCAGTAACATGACAGCTGATTGTTTCAATGGAATGCCTTTGATTTGGTGTTCAGATAGTTGATTCTTCTTCCAAATAGTTATGCCAAAATTCATAACAAAGAGTTCCAAAAGTGAAGGGAATAACTGTACAGAAATTCATCTCGCGTCAAATCGGGAGAGCAAAGCAACATTTCAATTAATTGAATTAACTTTGTCATGTTACAAAATACATATGATCAACCGTACAATGATCTTGAAGGACTAGAACCATGCAATACAGCATTTGCAAGGCAAACCAAATGTGCAGAATCACGTTCATCCCTGCTAAAATATCCAAGTGACATTTTGCTGCATATTTTATGATACTAACGATGTTCTACGCTCTCGGTCATCTTTGCTACAATGTTTGGCTTTCATGTACTGGGAATCCAACTCATGGAAGAAAATCGAATATTGAAGCAGGTGATCAAAGATTTATATTCTTCTCTTATTATAAAGTATCGCCTTTCTTGTATGTTAGAATGGAAATTCTTTAACACATGCATTCACTATGAGGACTACTTTAAAAAAAATTAAATAAATATAAGAGATCGCATGAATTGAGATTTTATATTTAGGATCAAATTGAACCTTCATCTAATTCTTATATTTAAAATTGAAGGTCGTAATTTGTTAAGCATTGATTTATTATAGAAGATACTAGATTGATTTTTTATTTACAAATATTGCATAGAAAATGAAATAATTTTTAAAAGAAAATTCTCAAGTAGTAACGAACTTTATCTAAATCTTATGGGTCAAATTTTCAAAAAAAAAAATAATTTGGAAGATTAGCTATAAATTTGAAATTATGAAGCATGTAATTTTTTTAAGGGTTAATATAATCTTTAGTCCCCCAAAATTTGTCCTTATTTTAGTTTTAATCTCTCAAATTTCAAATCATAGATTTTGGTTCCTCTGGGGACAAAATGGTCCAGGTTTTTATTGTATTATAGGGATTAATGTTTTAAATGAAAAAAAATTTGAGGGACCAAAACCAGTGATTTAAAATTAGAAAGACCAAAACCAAAATGAGAATAAACTTGAAAGACAAAAAATTATATTAATCCTTTTTTAATTATTTTTTTTTCTGATTTTCATATTTTTATAATTTTTTTTATCCTTAATCCTATGAATCTTCATATCTTATTATTTTCATTCCTCATTTATTCATTCTATCTAAATGTGGGAGAGTGGGATGGGAGTGAGAAAGGGGGGAAAAATAAAAAGTAAGAGACGAGGGAGGAAAAAAAAGGAAGGAATGGGAAAGTTGTTCACCAACTGAACGATTTTAGCTTTGCAACTCAACAAAAAAAAATATTAAGTTAAAATCCAAGAGCAACTTCTTCATGAATTTAAAGTCGTTCTTTGTGTAAATGATTTCAAGTGTAGCATTTTAGTAAATACTTTTTACTTTTTAGGATTTGGGTAATTTTTTTTTTTACTATTTGCAATATAGAGGTAAATTTGCCGTACTTAAGTCCTATTAATGATGGGACTTTATTCAAAACAAGTCTGAAAACATTCTGAAATATTATTAGAGTCTTCTAAGTCTAAAATGAAATTAAAATAGAAAGCAAAATAATGATGTTGGTTAATAACAAATAACAGAAATTAAAAAAAAATTAAATCTGAATCATTCAAATTCAGATCTAAATGATCTAGATATCATGCCTTAAATGAAATAGTTCCTTCATATATTAAGAATTGAAGGAAGTATTAAATTTTGTATACAATCCTTGACTAATACTCCCCCGGTCCTCAATATAAGACCCATTTGACTAATTTGATTAGATTAAGAAAGTTAGGTAAGTTAGTTAATTATAAGAAAAATAACACGTTTTTCTTAAAATACTATAATCATCTTTCTTAATACCCCATCTTCCTCTTCTACTTAATTATGGTTGAGAGAGTATCCATAAGGGTAATTTGAAGAAAATTTATAAATATGAGAAATGAATCTTATATTTAGTATTAAAACCAACTTAACAATTGAGTCCTATATTAAGGACCGGAGGAGTAACTCATTCTCTTTAGTATTTATACATTTTTAAAAAATGCATTTACATGAGAGATAAAGATAAAAATAATTACCATGATAATTTTGTAATAATTTCTCATGATTAAGTTGGAAAATTTGCCTTATGATGATATTCTTCTAATAGTACACCATCTTAATGTGTCGGATCTCTACTTATTTGACTGTGAAGAAGAGGAATCTTTACTACATCTTTTTGTTAACTGCCCTTTTTCTCCAATTGTTTGGTTTGGGATATTATCTGTCAAAATTTTTTATGATTTCCTTGATGATTTGAGATCTTAGATTAAGATCACTTTGAACAACCTCTATCAAGATAGTCACTAGAAATTGCTCATCAGATTATATGTCCACTCAACATGATGTGAAATAATTCCTTTCAAGCTTAACTGGGAGGGGGGGAAGGAAAAGGCAAAAACAAAAACAAAAGTTCTCGTAGCTGACAAGCTTACCCTTTACTTTCCCTTTATAAAACTAAGCCAGAAAGATTTACGATGGTGAAATGTGTAAAACGGGAAATAGAACAAAATGAAATAGAAGCAGTGGCTACAGGAAAACATCAACTTGCCCATAAAAGGAAGACGCACATATATTAATTTTCTTTGAAATGCCATTAATGTGCAAACTGCCAAAGCTGAGAAGATAAAAGGGGGACAAAAGCTAGAAGCCTACAATATTCAAGAAATCTCTTACAATCTTCCAGGTAGGGTTCCATGTTTTCATGAGCTCCAACTTAACTCTTCTTCTTTCTGAAAATGCTTTATCAGTTGTTTTCTTTTTTGCCCCATTAACTTGGTAGTTTGAGGTTCTTGGCCAAAAACATAATTTTTTTTTTCTGGCTTTCCATTTTTCACATCCTTAGAGATCGATGAATTTCCCTTCACCCACTTTGGTCATAAAGAAATCACTTTCGACTGATTGCCCAGTTTGAAATTCTCATATAGTTCTACATATCTTTCCTTTAGAATTATTTTTAATTATTTCTTCTTTCAAGATCACTAATCTTTCTAGTTTAATATATATAACAACAAAAGCATTATCCTTTTCTCTCTTCTCCCCAATTTTCATATTTGATCTGTCGGTTCTTGGTGGGATACTTGGATTCTGTGAAGAATAATGATATATTATTGTAGATCTTTCTCTCTGTCATGTGAAACCCACTGGATTTACTGTCTGTATAGCCTCTCTATTGTTCAGTTCAAGTACAGTTCCCCCCCACTTCAACTTTGTTGTGTGCGTGCGTGTTGAATTTTTCACTGCATACTTTGCCGTATATAATAACCTCGCGTTACTGATGATTCTGAGAAAAAGAAGGGAAATGACGAGAAGGAAGATACAGATAAAGAACATTGACAGTATAACAGCAAGACTTTCTCAAAGAGAAGGAAAGGTCTCTTCAAGAAGACAAGGAACACTCGACTCTTTGCGATGTTGAGATTACCCTCTTAGTCTTCTCTTCTACGGGCAAGCTCTTTGACTATGCTAGCTCAAGGTTCTTATATATCATATTATTAGTCTCAATTTCTCCTACATACATACATACATAAACAGGTACTTCTATAGGTGTGTGTGAGAGAGAGATTTACATGATATCACAGTGGTCGATTCAAGAACGAAATATGAAACTGTACAAGTACACAGCTCATCATCATTAACTATCTATATTTTCACTCATATTACCTCATTCTCTGTAGTCTATTAAACTAGGTAGCCAGCTTGGCAGTTGATAAACACTAGTTGGAATCTATATAATTCTTGTTGCATTTGTAACCTTAAAGATTATTATATGTGTATGTTTCAGTACTTCTGTTTCTATTAGTAATTAATAACTTAAAAGGTCAACCGGTGAGAAGGTAATTTCATAGACTTGAAGTAATGGAATCATGATTAATATCCATAGTTGAAGGTTTTGAGTTTTCCCATTGGGATTATGAAAGAATTTCGTTACTCCATACAATTTGACACAAAACTGTGCTTGATTGATCTGATCTTTTCCACTGATTGATCTTGAAGGGAAATAGAAAGTCACTCAAACGAGTTACTATTTCTGTTGTTTTCAGTATGCAGCGGGTAATTGAAACGTCTGATCAACATTTGCCGTTCAAAGACTAGGCTAATCATCTGTAGATCTACAGGTAATCAATATATTAATATCAATCACGCAGCATGACATATCTCAAGTTTTGTCTCAATGCACATAGCTCCTTTTAATTAACTTGATTCCTTTTCATTTCTATTTTGGTCATACTTCTTTTCTGGTTAATTACTCTCAAATTGTGACTCACACGCGCGTGGGCGCTCAAATGGTTTCTTGTTTAATTCATTATGGAATTCGACAACTGAATATCTAAGGAAGTACTTACCAAATTAATCAGATGGGAAAAGGGATCCGCTTCTTAGAAAGATTTTAACTCGTTGACGAAATTGAGCTTATCCCTTTCGACTCTTTCTTAGGAGGACTTCAAACAGGCTTGTCCCCTCTTTCTTAGGAAGACATTTTATTTGATCCCTTTTATGCTTGACCCTTGATCCTTTAAATTTTGGGCTTTCCGAGGTTTGTGAAGTTCTATGCAAAATACTACCACTATCCTTCTCATAATGTAAGTCATATTTCATAGAATGTAGTGAGCATTAGATGTTTTCTTTCCAAATTTACCCCCTATTTATGAGATATACTAAGAGATATGATTGATATGAGAGTACAGTTTAATAAGGGTTATTTTGGAATGTTCAAGTAATTTTTGAAAGGTACAAGATGTCTAATTAACTTTAACCAACTTTACCAGTTTGTGTAAAGCAGTTCAAAGTGACTTGCATTTTGGTACAGACAGAGTAAGATTATGTTTTTATAGATTTTGTATTTTACATGCAAAGAAATTAAAATGTATTATTCTCGTATTTTGCATAGAATTTTCTGAACTGTAAGGGCTTCTTTGATTGGATTCTTAGAACCCCAATTCCTAATAATCTCAATTGCATTGTTAATGTGTTTGGTTTGGTTTTTGTGGTTTGTGTCCTAAATCTATGGATAATCTAATTATCACACTGGTGTGAGGATGATTCTCCATAAAAATGTGGCCAATCCTAGTTCCCAAATGCTAGAGTCGCACTATTTTTAATATCCTTCACCTGAGAAACCACAACGGGGACCCTCCAGGTGGGGCATTTTGGTTGATTTGATTTTAATTTATTTTTATTTAATCAAATATAAAACATAAAATTCTTCCATCATTTTCAGTATCATACCTGCTAAATTTATGGTTATTAACATTCAATTCCATTTTCCTGCTTTCCACGGATCAAACGGGCCCTGAGGTTTAGTCCAAAAAAAAACCAGCCCAAAAAGCACAGACTTCTTTATCTTATAAATTTGTCAGAGACTGCCAACTTCTTTATCTATAGTATCTTTTCTTTTCTTTACTATCATTTAATGCTCTATGACCAGATTCAGTATATTTCTTTAAACCTTCTACATTGCTGGTGTAGAATCTACCTGATATGTATACTTTCAACTATAAGACACTGTGTTTTGGTACTTATCAAACTTCTTTATTTTTGCATTTTTAAAGTGATATGCCTTTACCATGCATAGAAAAAATATAATTTAAGTAGTGATTAAAAATGTTAGTTAATTTGCATCTTGACAACAAATTGGCTTGGTTTCTTCCTTGTCTAATGGCTATATGAGTTGTGATTTTGTGTAGTTATTGCGTTCAAGATTTTGAGTTCGACATATTTACTATGATTATTGTTTCAGGATGAAAGATTCATGAAACCCATCAACGCACTAAAGAGAAAGGTAAATGCCAAACCAAACTTAGAATGTTAGGATCTGCTATTTATGCACATGCAAGATATTATTCATTTGCAGACTTGGCCTTTCATCAACTGGTCATGTTCACTTAATTCCCTGTATATAAGCAATTAATATTGACGTGTGGAAATCTCATTGTATATAGTCTATACGTCCAGAAGCAGGGAAAACTTTTATGTCAATCACACAAAAGTTTACTCAATACATAAAATCACTTAAAACGTAGTTCCAAACATAAAAATGAGTCTTTCAGAGTAGATATAATTGGAGAAAACAAAATGATTGAAGAGCAATCGATTAGAAACTACTCAACTTTACATCTTTATTCTATCTCTGTAATAGCAATTAGGTTCAACTCATTCCTCACTTTTTCTCATTTAGTGATTAGCCCCATAAAGAAAAACCACAAGTGTGACGACATAATAAAGAGATAAGAACATCATTCATTTTTTTTTTTTAAATATAGTAGTCTCTATCTTCTGACACAACACAAGATCTGAATCTTATAAATGGGAGGGGCTCACACTTGACAGTTAATGTATGTTAAAGGGATAAAAAGAAGATGGCTCAGGAGGACTAACTCTCTCAGTTGACTGAACCATTTTACTTATAGAGAAATGAGAGAAGTTTCATGTCTTAGAAAGAATATAATACAAAGAGTCACTTGAGGTTTCACTTGAATGATCAGTTCTATGTGAATCCCTTTCTGAATACATATATTCCAAGAGATTTGATGCTCGTTCTTTTCTTCACATGACACTTCAATTTGAAACTAGCCCATGAGAAGATTCATATCCATATTCTAACAAACTTATGTATGTGATTTCACTATTATAGATACTACATTCAGTCCTTAATATAAGACTAAATTGACTAATTTGAAGAGATTAAAAAATTTACTAAATTATTTTAAAGTATTTATATTTATTGTTTTTTCTCCTAACTAATTTACCTCACTTATAAATTGTCATATAATCTAATGGATACCCATAAATATTTTAGAGAGATTATATAACATATACTATAGTTAAATAATTTAGTAACTTTCTTAATTTTTCCAAATTAGTCAAGGAGATCTTATATTAAAGACTTGAAATAGTATGATGGATTTCAAGAAAATATCCAAGTTACATTTTGCTGCATATTTTATGACACTAACGATGTTCTACGCTCCCGGTCACCTTTGCTACATTGTTTGGCTTTCATGTACAGGGAATCCAACTTATGGAAGAAAATCGAACATTGAAGCAGGTGATCAAAGATTTATATTCTTCTCTTATTAGTATTGCCTTTCTTTTCAAATGTTGAGAATTGAAAGTCTCATAACACAAAAACACACTTACAGAGACTTGAACGTGAACAAGGCCAGTCTTCTGAGTCCATCGCCATTTGCAGTTCATCTAACAATCCTACTCAAGACTCTGATAGTTCTAATGCATCTCTCAGGCTGGGGTAATTAACTAGATTATCTAGCTACTTATACATATTTATATATTAGATAGCTTTTTTTTAATGTAATTTGAACTATCTGCATTTGATGTTTGGTGGTTTGGATTGAATATGGACTCTGCTGTATTTTAGCATTTGAAGGAAGATTTCAATTCTTTAAAATAATTCCGATCAATTTTTGAGCAGGATACTTCCTAAGAAGCGTACAATCGATTCATTCTGTGAAATAAGGGGGGGGGGAAGGATACAGCATTATGTTTTCTACCTTGGTTGGCACTGATATTTATGTGGCCATTAGTTCATTCTTCATATCACTAATATGAGTTTGGCCTTCCATGTCTTGCAGGTTGTCTTTATTCAAATAGAAACATATAAATGTTTATTCATCAGAGAGTTATATATTATCGATGAACGGGGAAAAGCAATCTCGAGCATCGACCAGTTAATGGTCGTCACTTAGAAGCCATGTAGTGTATGTGTATATTTATATATATGGTGTTTTGATGAGTTCCATTTCAAAACAACTTGCTTCTATAATATATATATATATATATATATATATAGAGAGAGAGAGAGAGAGAGAAGGGCAAGCTAAGAGAATTATTGTAGCGAAAATTATAATGAGATCCTAAAAAAGAAAAATAATTACAAAACAGGTCTTAAAAGTTATTATTTTCTACTCTGAACTTGCATTGCAGGCTGTTTAGATTGTTATTGGAGTTTTTAAGTAATTATTTTCTTTCACTGGGACCTTATTATAATTCTCCCATTATTGTATTGGAATTATCTCTCAAACTAATTTCTTTTCACTAATTTGCTAAATGTTGCAATTAGTTAACTAATAAGTAATCATCTGATCTTGTTTTGTTGGACTTTTCTTTTCTTGACCCCCTCTTTCTTTTGTTGCGCCCAAAGAAGATTTAAAGATTGTAACAAAATACCACTTCCAGCTCATAATTTTAAAACAAAATTGGGAGTTAGATTTGATTTTAAATATAGGATTTTAATTTATTTTGTCTTCTAAATTTGTAATTTTTCTCTAAAATATTTTTTTGAGGATTTTTATCAAAGGTAATATCAATGCACATGATCAAACATCGTAATTTAGAGAATACAACAAATATTTGTTTCAAATAATTAATTTAACTAATTTTTTTTTAATTTTTCAAATTAGTTATTTAGTTTTTATATTAAGAATCTAAAGTAATACAACGTCAAAGGAAGCTAGTAATTGAAAGCAAATGTAGCCGAATGCCTGGCCATAAAAGTAGATGAGAGCAATTTTTGTTATCTTATGATCACCCAAATATTAGGCTTGGGAAAATTAACTATAGGTTTGTTTTTCTTTAAACAAAATAACTTATTCGACAATTGAGCACTCCATACATGCAAACTATAAATTAAGGATAACTTTAAGAGTGAAGAGGGGGATTGTAGTTGAGATCACGTCCTCGAGATCTAGCAATATCTCAGCCTCTGGTTCTTCGGCTTGTTTAAGCTGATGAGTATAAGTTTGAGAGAGTGAAGAGGGAGATTGTAGTTGAGACAAAGGTAAGGATGGAAAAATATATGTGTTCCTCATACTCAATAAAAATGCATTTATTACAGCTTTCTCCCCAAGGACAACAACCTGCTCTAATTAGTGATGATCTTCTTTTTTTTGTTTGCCTATGTTTTCACTTAAGAAAAACATATGTAAACAGAAGAGCTTTTCATGCTTCTTATATATTCCTCTGGTCCTTAACATAGGAATTAATTATTAAATTAATTTTTATTCTAAATATAAAACTTATTTCTCATATTTATCAATTTTTTTTCTAAATTACTCTTATAAATACCCTTTAACCATAATCTAGTAGGAGAGTAAGGGGAGATATTAAGAAAAATGATTATGATATTTTAAGAAAAGCATATCATATTTTTATAATTAACTAACTTATCTAATTTTTTTAATCTGATCAAATTAGTTAAACAAGTATTTATATTAAAAACAGAGGAGCATCATTATATTACATCGTACAAAAAATTCTCCGTCTGTCTTCATTCGTGATTCGTGCAATCAGAGACCAACCTAACAATTCCCATTATGATCACCTTTAATAGAGTTTATTTTGATATGAAACAAATTTCATTTAAAAAGTATTTATAGTTTGTAAAATATTACCCAAAAAAAAAAATCATAAAAGATTAAGGCTAAAATGTTTCCTACCGAATTTGCTCTTTTCCTTATCCAACTAAAACTTAACTTGCACTGAATATAACTTTCTTAATTTAAATTCTAATTGAATAAATTATTTATCACTGAATAATCTTTTTGATATTTTGTAGATATAAACATGGATAATATGAAATTGAATTTAAATTCCGTGCAAATGTATAAAGTGAAAGCATAAGGTAGCGTAAAAATAGGACGAGGGAACATGAATATGGCAGAATCTGACATGGTTATAAGAGCAGACTATGATGTTTGGGCAGCTTGCAGGCTCTATGAACCAACCACCCTCCAATGTCAATGTTTAAGTACATGCACATCCACTGTCTCAAATAATAACCTTGTACTAGTTATTGAAATATACTTTTTCAATTATTAAAAATATTTTATATACATATATGTAAGTGTAACTCGTACATATATAGTGTTCAGAAAGGAATAGGGGATGATCATTAAAATTATTTTTTGGAAAGATTAATGTAAACTAAAAATATTTACACTGTAAATTCGAACATTTGAAATTTTGAATAGTCAATAGAGGTGTCAATTAAGGCCAAAATAATAATATATGTGTCAATTGAAAGTTGAATTTAGGGAGAGGGAGAATTTTACTTAAGTCCTATTAATGATAGGATTTTATTAAAAACAAGTTTCAAGACATTCTGAAATATCGTTAGAGTCTTCTAAATCTAAAATAAAATTAAAATAGAAAGCAAAATGATGATGTTGGTTAATAACAAATAATATACATTAAAAAAAAATCTGAACCATTCAAATTCAGATTTAAATGGTCCAAATATGATGCCTTAAATGAAATAGTTCTTGTATATATTAAGAATTGGAGGACGTATTAAATTTTTTATACGGTCCTTGAGTAATAACTACCATTCTCTCTAGTATTTATACATTTTAAAAAATACATTTACATGAGGGATAAAGATAAAAATAATTACCATGATAATTTTGTAATAATTTCTCATTAATAAATTGGAAAATTCGCCTTCTGATGATATTCTTCTAATACACCATCTTAATGTCTTGGATCTCTG